ATGTAGCTCCGATGCATGCAACCACATTTTGTTGGGTAGACCATGGCAATTATACCGGAAGGTGAATCATTACGGCGACACTAATTGCTATAAGGTTCAGCACGATGGTAAGAAGTTTTTGCTGCAACCTCTGTCACTGGCAGAAGTCCAAAATGATCACCGACAATTGGAGGAAAATCTACGGCGATCCAAGGGGGCATCTAGTGGAAAGGGTTCTGAGGAATCTAGTGGAACTAATCTCCTGACTCAAAAGTTTATGCTTACCGGTTATAAGAAGCTCCGAGCACCACGTCGACGACGGCCCTGTAAACCATCGCCGGAGCAGAGTAGGAGAGAGAGTGGACTCGTCGGAGAGCTTGACAAAGAGTCGAATCCAACGAAGACTACAGGAATGTTCCAAATTACTTCAGGAAGCTCATGTTCAAGATGGATTGGAATGTATATACCTGGATTGAAGGATCCAATTCGAGCGAATTGGATGGAGTAATTGGAAATTATTCGACGCAAACTGTTAATACGGGACCGTCAGGGAGGTTGTATGAAGTTGTTGGAACCTTCAATTTCACTCGAGGATGCCGGATATGGAAACGCACATTCTGAATTCATGTTCCTAGGTTCGTGAAGTTTGAAAGTCGACGACGGCGGGAAAGGCACAAACGTAGATTCGATGAAAAAGACGTCGAGTCAAGACACGAGACCCATCCAGAAACTTGATTCAAAGCATGGCGAAGACGATGGTGAATTGCACTCGAGATGCTCGTATTCGAAATCCCCAATTCGGGACATGAAGAACAGAGCCCTAATTTCCAAGAAATGGCAGTTTGGGAAGGTCTATTTCGATCCAATTTGCTGAAGCTTTTGAAGAGAGGAAGACCAAAGCTTTGAGGGCATTGCTTTCTGATGAGCCTAAGATGGGGTCTCAATAGATTATAATCTCACAACCATGATTAGATTCGAAATCCCCAATTTCGAACAAGACGAACAGTGCCCTAATTTTCCAGAACTGGCAGTTTGAGCAGCCCTTTTCAGATCCAATTTGGAACCAATTTTGTGAGCGATTCGAGCAGAGGAGGATCAAACTTTTTAGGAAAATATTTTTTTAAAGAGGGGGGCCTGATGTGATCCCAATTGGATTGATCTACAAGTCAGAGTTGCTTCATCAAGAAGCCATTTCAATCACTAACAAAACCCTTGAATTTTGGTTGTCTTTTTACGGTTTTAGGCAACTAGTCATCCAATGCCTCTAGGTTGTAGTAGAAAACCTATATTTTCATGTGGTATAGCCCTCTTGGAGTGATTCACATCCATTTTCCTCGAATCAGTCTACAAAGTCGGGTACTCAAACTGGTTCCGACACTTAGCCAATTTCTGGCAGAATTCTAGTTTCGACATAGTATTTTGAGAGGCTCCAAACATAGTCCTCCAATCTTCATTCAAGTCATCCAATGCCTCGAGGTTATAGTAGAAAACCTATATTTTCATGTGGTATCGCCCTCTTGGCGCGATTCCCATCCATCTTCCTCAAATCAGTCTTCAAAGTCGGGTACTCAAACTAGTTCCGACACTTAGCCAATTTCTGGCAGAATTCCAGTTTCGACAGCATTTTGAGAGGCTCCAAACATGACCCTCCTGACTTTATCTCGAGCATCCAAGCTTAAAAACTTATAGAGGAGCATTAGATCTTTCAAACAAGCTCTTGAAACCCAATTTCCATTGATCCATGTGTGACGACCAAGCTTGGAAAATGGGTTTCTTGAAACCGTAAAAAGACTTGGCCAAAATTCAAGGGTTTTGTTAGTGATTGAAATAGCTTCTTGATCAAGCAGGCCTGACTTGTAGATCGATCCAATTAGGATCACATCACTTTCTCAATAGGGGAGCCTGATACAATCCTGAACTCACTCTTAATTCAGTCAGGATTGATCGTTGAAGGATCAAAGTTAAACCGTAAAAAATTTCTAAGTAATTTTGACGATTTCAGGAACCAACTTTGGACATGTGTAACTTCTTGTTGGCTTGGTAAAATTTCGACTTCAAGGACTTGTTTTGGAGCTCAAGAGGAAGTCCAGAAGGTTGTTTTTTAGGTCGATCAAAGTGCTAACTCAACACAAGAAAAACTGCCAAAATTGCTCAAGTATGGAATCGAGTTCGGGAAGGCAACTTTGAGCTTCAATTTGACGAGTTTGAGCAAGATTCGAGTTGCAAGGCTGATGTCACATGAAAGTAGGAATTTCATACTACAACGTCGTGGAATTGGATGATTGGAGTGAAGTCTGGAAGCCTTCAAACGAAAGCTCCAAAGATCGTTCGAAGACATGTTTTCTGCTTTGGAACAACACAGAATCTGAAAGCTTATAGGATTAGGATTAGGAGTCTGTTTTGGAGTTTTAAGTCTTTTTCCTTGTTTTTCTATTCCTTTTCGTAGTAGAAGGTAATTAGGAGTTCCTTTAGTGTTGTTAAACGTCTCTAGGTCCTATTTAAGTTGAATCTCTCATTGTAATCGTCAGTTTTTAGTTCAATCGAATACAAACAAAGAGTTTGGTTCATAAGCGTTGCCTATGAATTGATAGAACAATCTAGTGGAATTCTAGGTTGTTTTGAGCTTGTATCGTTCAGTAAACCACCCTGAACGTGGCCAAACATCTACCCACACCAATCGAGCCTCTTTCCCATTGAGAAAGTTGTACGAAAAGTCCCATCTCGAACACCCAAAACCTGCCCTGTTTTTGGCGTGTTTTTATCCAAATTCAATTCCAATCTTGGGATTGGATTCTTGGTTGCAAACTCTGGTCCAAACAGCCCTCTAGGGTTGTGTCAACAACAATGTGAGAAGTAGCCTAGTGTATCGAAACTAATGGAATACGATTAGGTAATCCAACAATCGATGGAGGGCAATACCCGATGAATAAGAAGAAGAAAGCTAATGATCATATATGCAAATGAAAGGGTTGGGCAACAAAAGTTCAGTTTGCAGAAGCCAAATCGAACACACCCTAAGTTATCAAATAAATTACCTCTAGGATTTGAAGGACACTAATAAGGCAGGCAAACTAATGGTTGTCCATGAAGGGTACTAATTGTGTTAAACAAATAATAAGGAAGCTTATTGTTGTCCATGGTGGCCTGAAGCGAGCTAAGGTTGAGGCGATTGTAGTTTCAATTTGGAGGGAATGAAGTGGCGAAGAAGATGAGGTTGAGCGACAAGAATATTAGATTTGGAGATGGAAGTTGTGTGTGTATTGGATTTTTAAAACAGTCAGGTGTAGCTTGTATTTGAAATTTTTATTTTTATGAAAATCGAAATACAAACTGAATCTGGACGATATTCCAATACTATTAAAAAAATTTACCAAACAATAAAATTTGAATTTAAAAATAAAAAACCAACTATTCAAACACAGCCTAATAGACTTTTTGGACAAATCTAAGTGAACAACCACCAATTATTTTTTGTTCCAAATGTAATGGAAAAGGGGAATCTTTTTTTATTTTTTATTTTTATTTTTATGGTTGAGTGTTTTCTATCCAAAATCAAATCAGATATCACCTTCTTAATTCCAATTTAGAATTATTTCTCTGAAAGTTTGACCACTTTGTATTGTACGGTTAGAATTGAATGTGGATTAATTAAGTTGGAAAGAATGGGGCAGAGCCTTCCTTCCTAAGGCTACGTTTCAATCACCCATGACGCCAGAAGAGGCGTGTACTTGCTCAACAAGTTGTTTCCAGTTTTTCGGAATTCAATAAACAGGAAGTATAAATTATTACTCGTTAACCCTCACTTAATTTCTCTTAATTGTGTATTTCATTTGTGTTTGTTATATGCGTTGGTAAAAATTATTGTAACTTAGCTCAATCACATGTTACCAGTTTTGCCTTCCAGAGATTACATGAATTTCATTACTAAAAAAATCTGTATTGTTTAGTATATTTGTGAAGTATGTTATTGTATCGAAAGGTAAAAATGATATGTTGGACTCGCTCCTTTAAGATATAATATATTTATATTTGGATAATCCAACCAGACTCAAATATTCGAAATTACATTATTTAGCAAAAACACTATAACAATAAAAATCTTGTAATTAAGAACTAATCATATATTCATCTTCATCCGTAGACTTTGGTGCTGTGGAGAAATTTTACAATGCTATATAGTATTGGTGCTATAGGGTTTTGCCTTTATGGTACAACTTAAAATTGTGCATTTACGTTATGGTACAAATTTAGATTGTACCTATACTTTTTGTACAAATTCTTTTATGGTACAACTTGAACTTGTACATTTATGTGATAGTACAACTTCAAGTTGTAAAGTTGTACCATAACATAATGATACAAATTGCTTTATGGTACAACCTAAACTTATACATTTAATGTTATGGTACAACTTTAAGCTGTACATTAAAGCACCAATACTATATAGCATAGTAGAAGTGCTCTGGTGCTGTGACCTGTGAGGAATGAGGATACCATATAATTCTCTTGGGGTCGTTTGGATGGAGTATTTGTATGGGTTATTTGGGTTCAAATAACTCACAATGAGTTATTTGGATGCAAATAACTTGTTTGACAGCGTTTTACGATACTGAAATGAGTTATTTGGACTGTGAGTTATTTACAAATAACGTATACTCAAGTGTTATTTCGAAATAACTCGTTTTATCACTCTGCTTTTACCAAATACCACATGTCAAATAACACATTTGCATGGTTCAACCAAAAGAGATATTTTATTTCAATTACCACAAAAATAACACTGAAATACCACATGAACAATAAATGAGTTATTTGACACTACAAATACCACATTGACAATTAACCCATCCAAACGACCCCTTGTAGTACTAATAAGTCAATTATTATTGACGTGACTTGTATACCAATCAAACTCTTTTTTTTTTTTTGGTAAAATCAAACTCTCTTTTCTCCCTTCCATTATTTACCCCTAGACTCGACTTCTGAGTTGTATATATAAGTCAACCCTCTTCGCCACCATCTCCTAATTAAACCTGCAACTGAGTCACTTAAATCATACAACAACAACAACAACAATATGGATTCCCACGGCGGCAGCGGAAAGGCGTCTCCGTACATGGCTCTCCCACCCGGCGACGAGAGTACAGCAACGCCCAAGATCTACGAGCCTTCTTCTCACAGATTCATGACGGCGACTTCCCCCGATCAAAAGGCCGACGAGAAGAAGACGACGACCAAGAAGAAGAAGAAGAAGAAGAAAGGTTGCTTTCTGATGTGCTTCTCAAATATGGAGATCCACAGCAAAGAAGAGCAGGATAAGGTGCTTGAGCTGCTGGAAGACGGCAACAACAACAAGTGCTGTTTCCTCATGTGCTTCTCCAATCTAGGATTGGGTTCACCGGAGGATCCACAGGCTGTTAAGCCCACCAAATATTGATCCATAATTAAGGATCGACCTTATAGTAGAACTAATAAGTCTGTGGTGTGTATTGTGATGAATCCTAGCTACCAAGAAAATATGCTTATAGGCTACCTACCAGGCTTGTCTTGTGGCGATATTATTATTATTATTATTATTATTATTATTATTATTATTATTTTTCACTGCATGTTTAATTTGTCAGCGTTAATGTGACAAAAATATAATCGACTATATGTAGTTGAATAATGTTAGCACAAGTACCGGCCTATTTGCTAGAGAGTTTGATGGTTATTTAATTTGTACGTGTCATTTACATGTGTTTTGTTTGGTGAATATTGATGGCAATGGGGCGGGTTTGTCTAAATCATCCTCATCCCTTTTTCAAATATTCATACCCATACCCGCTTTATACCCATGCAGGGAAGGTTTTGCAAACTCATCCGCATACCCGTGGGCAGGGGCGGACCTATGTGTTGCTAAGGGGTGTCGTTCGCCCGAAAATTTTGTGAAGAACACATATTTTTTTGGTACAAAAAAAATTTAATACGAGATTTCCTACACCGTTTTGATAATTATAGTCGATACTCGTCCATTAGGCGACACCCCTCTTCAACAATCCTAGGTCCGCCACTGTCCGTGGGTTTCGGGTACCCATGGATAATACCCGCCTCGAACATCCGACATTATAATACCAGAAAATTTACATGTAAATTCTCAATTATAACATTAAACGCACCTACGTACTATCGTGAAGTTGACAAAGAGACAATCATTCTTTATACGATTCAAAGCATCATATACTAAATAATACATTAATCCATAAGACAGAGTACAATATTATGTAATACAAATCATTATTCTCTCACTCTGATACATCTACTAACTAATAGCAAGCTAACATAATCTTGCTAACACGAGGGAAAAAGTGAAAGAGTCAAGGGAGAGTTGATGATAAGGAATTATGTTTTGATTTTGGTGGTCACTCAATTGCATTTCTAATATTTATTTTCTTGAGGTACCCTCACTATCATTGATATATCACAATTTTATCCATATATTTTTTATATGTGAAGACATGCTCTTAGTGGGGCGCGGTATGGGTATGCGTATGGGGCGAGGGAGGCTAAAACCATAACTGCCCCATACCCATCAAACGTTTTGCGAGTTTTACCCATACCCTCACCATACCCAGTCAATGCAGGGATTCCCCGCATTGACTGGGTTGGAGGCGATCGGATACCCGCGACCATGGGTTTGATTGTCATCCCTATTGGTGAACTATCTAAGTAAATACTCAAAGTACTCTGATTATGCTTATAATGTATTGAAAACACACGAGAAAGACAAACTAACTACCAAAGAAATGCAACTAATAGTGACATATATTTATTTATAAACAAAGTGCTGCTTATATAAAAGTTAATAAATAACAACAAAAGAGCTACTTCCTCATACATAATCAATATTAACAATAAAAATAAAATAATTGTCCTTTGATGGAGTTGACAGTATCCATAGATTTTTTTTTAATTTCTATCATTTATGTTGATCATGGCATGAATTGTTCATTGGAATTATATGATTTGAATCAGAGAGCATGTTGAAGATTTGTCACTGGTACTTCACTAAATTTTTATTTGGTATCAAGACGACATATCTTAAATATGATCAGCAATAATATATTAATTCCCTTGCAGCTCTCACGATCATGGTAATCATAATTCTCAAAAGAGTTCATTTAAATACGAGAGACGTACTAAAGTAAGGCTACATAAAAGATAGTAACATTGCAATAAAATTTTGAATTTCTTTCCATGTTCAAAAGAGTTCATTCAAATGTGTACAAATCATTTTCAAAGAAGTGTTCTTTAATGTTAGCATTCACTGCTCTAAATCAAAGTTTTGCATGAATATTTTGAGATGGTAGTGGGCATAAAACTAATTTTATCATGTTTGACAATATTATATTGAACAACATCAACTTAATGGTCAGCACGGGATCTAATTGTTGAAAATTTTATGTCCTAAAACTATTCAGCTCTTCAAAAGCAAAGAGAGTTGGTTGATGATGAATTCTAAAGTGCATAGAGATGCAAATAATGCAAGCAAAATTGAAGGATCGCTCCAAATTTGGACCCGATTTGCACTTACGGGAAAACTTGTCGAAACATTGGTATAGAGAGGAATTTGACAATGCTAACTCTGACCACATAAGTAAATGAACTCAAATTTCACCTAATATGACCGCTAAATTCATTCCTAGATCCAGACTTATATGTATATGTAGAACTCTACCATTTAACTACTATTTTATCTATCACAAGATCACTCGTATTAACGAGAAAACAACCAGATACAGAGAAATTACATACCTGAAAATAGCCAAAAAACAAAAATCAAACCCTACCGTCTAAGGGAACTTCGAAATGACCTTTTTTTGCCATAAAATGGGCAACCCTATTGCAGTGGTATAGAACAAACCGAGCCTCAAACAACTCAAATAAATCTCAAAGCACACAAATCTATTGCAGGACTGTCCCATCACAATCATCATCTAGCCGACCCTCTTGAGCACCATCTAAGGAACACCTGCAAAAAACCATCAAACGGAGACCTCGAGACGGACTCCAATGCACCGCATACCGCAGAGCTAGCAATGCGATAAGAAACGCATTTGAGATTCCCATGTATAGTGCAACAGACGCAACCACCACCATACCTGTCTGATACTGTAGAACCCACCCATCAAATCCATGGGACGGGCCAAACGTAGCACCATCCACGTACATCACCAACTCGCCAAAAGGGGCACGCCGACTGGAATCCACAATCCCTATCATTTACTAGTTCACTTATCACATATACCAGAGTTATACTTTAAGTTCATTTTTATAAACTAATGTGGCAACTAAGAATAATATATTCACCACCATATTGACTTGGTATCACAACTAACTAAATGTGTCCAACCAATTACATATGCCAAATTACCAAGAACATTAACCAATCTAGTGATTCGGGCCCAATTGTGTACATTTTACCCCTCATTTATTGCTATGTTGTGCTTGTTTTGATACATTTCAGGTCCTAACACGTGTGGAAGGGTCGAGGACGAGTTTCGGGACGATTGTAGGTCAAAAAGCGCAGAAACTGAAGAAAAGACAATTGCCCCGTGACCGTGAAGCGCAGGCGCCTAGAAAAGCAGTCGCAGTTCACGGTTCAAGTAGCGAGTTCACGGTCATCAGGACACTAAATTGGAACCACAAACCACGAAGCATCCAGAGGGGTTTCAGAGGTTACTAACACCGAGGCAGTTCACAGTCGTAAGACCTTGAACTGGAGCCATGGACCGTGAACTCCATAAGTGAAGCGGTGCGTTTTGATTTGTGTTCACGGTCGCTGCCTGATGTTCACGACCGTGAACTGGGCGCGATTTGGTATAAATAGAGAGCCGAAAGGAGGAAGAAGAGGCTTTTTTAGGGTTTTAGTTTTCAGAATTAAGAGGGTTTTCTAGTGAGAGATTATGGTTTCCTCTTCCCATTCTAGAGAGAGAAAGTGCCATTCAAAGGAGGAAGGAGATTGGGCTTTCCCTAAACTAGAGAAGTGAAGATTCTTACCTCTCAAGGGAGATTCAAGCAAGAAGGAGGGAAGATTTTCATCTCTCCATGGTTCTTTCTCTCCTTTTTGTTGTATTCCTTTGCCTAGCTATGGATTAGCCTTCCTACTCACTTGGATATTGTGAATCCTAGTCTAGATGTATGTTAGGATGTAAGAACTTGACTCTATTGTGTTGATTGAACATTTATATAATATTTGATGTATTTTTCATGAATGATTGAATGTGCTGGCTTTAACTCATGATTGGGTCATTTTGACCTAGGTGGAGAGAATCTCCTTGCTAAAAGAGGCTTTGAGAAGTTGGATTCTTGGCCAATTTGTGTCACCCACCTAGGCAAATTAAGACAAACCTTTAATTAATCATGATTAGTGAGTGTTGCTTGTATTATATCATTGTTGGGTCAAAATTAACCTAGAAGGTGGAAATCCCCCTTTGGCCCATAGGGAGCTTGACATCCTAACCACTTGGGTAACCCCTTTTGGGTTGATTAAGGGCCAAAACCTCAAATATTGAGTTGTACCATGATTTTGATGTGATTGGTCTCTCCGCCGTCCGGATTAAATTTCGAGGGTTGGGTCTTGCGATCCTTAGTTGACTAGTTAAGAGGGCTAGATCACCTAGCTATTGTTGTCATCCTTAGCCGAGAGGTTAAGAGAGTTAGTCTACTCACTACAACAAATTCGACCTATTATGTATAATATGACAAAATATGTTGTCACAAAGGTTTGTCATTTTATCGCCGTCAAGATAGGTCAAATGTGACAAAATTTTAAAACAAGGTTGTCACATTTGCTTTCAGTATAGCTGCGGTTCTGGGTTATCTATTGTGACAAATAGGGATGTTATGACGACAATTTTGTCATTAATTTTGTCATATTTTGACATCACATAATTGTGACGAACAAAGTTTGTCATAAATGCATAGTATGACGAATATGTTTTGTCATAACTGCATAATATGATGAACATATATTGTCATAACTTAATATTAGGACAAACGCATTTTGTCATGACTGTATAATGTGAACAATATGATTTATTCATCAATGTACTGAAAAACATATATTTGAAAAAATTCATATTCTTGTAGCATGAAAACCTATCAAACAAATACTAGTTACACATCTAACTATTTTTGGTGTCCTAAACAAACTAATATGAGATTCTGAATCCCTCGACAACGATGGCCTATTGTTGTCATTGTTGCTGCCGCTTACATGTTCATACAATCTGTAGAGTAAACCTACATCAAATAGAAAGGATTATTAACCCCAAAACCTATAGGTTTGCTATAGAGATACATAGAAGTACAAGATCAAGATGAAACTATTCTGAGATGGGCACAAATCTACCTACTAATAGACTAAATCAGGGGTTGAGGCCTCAAACGCTAGTACCTGTAAGTAGCTGCTGCAGTTTTCGCACATGACTTTAAGCAAAATCAGAGCAACCAACCCCTGCAGCAGAAATTCCATAAATTAGTGACTTAAGCACCTCCTCTATAAAAACAGCAACATAAATTGAAATTCTACAAATTGGACTGACAAACTGCAACAAAACATAAGCAAACAAAATAAATCTACAAAACCGCAACAATAATAAAAAAATCTGCAGACTGCAACAAGTTAAACAATTTCAATGAGAAATTTTCAAAGTATACTTGCGTTCAAGTCTTTCTCCATGGGTTGTGAAAACTGAAAACTAGATATTAAACTAACTGTTCAAAGTATATTAGAGGTACTATAACAAACCATTATAAACCAAAATAACTTGAATTTGCACATGACTTTCCTTCTCATTCTAACAAAAGTCTACAAACTTTGCACTGTCCTTTTCCAAAAAGTGAGACTCTTTCCAGACATTCAAAATTACACCATTTAATCTTCATTGTCTCAAGGGCTTGAGCTAACTAAAACAGCTAAATTGATTGCAGATAGAACTACACTTATAAATCAACTGAATCGTTTAGAGTCCTTTAGACAAGAGAGATTCAAAATCATAAGAAGCTCGAATCTATTACAGATTCAAAACCCTTTCCCATGGCAATCAAACCGAACAAAACCCAGAAACAAGATTTTTTTTACCTGCAAATTCTGGCGAGCACAAGCTGGAAAAACAAATAGAAAAGCAGCAAGAAGAAGATGTACATAACAAGAACATAGAACAAACATAATAGTCTTACAGCTCAATCACGGCCGCAGCCGCTTGTAGAGTCGATCTCCAATCCGACCTTCTGATTTTCACCTTCAATCGATTGGAGAAGCCAAGAGACCAACCGTCGGCTCGTCGCCAGTCGCCAAACCTCGCCACCTCCGGTACCTCCAGTTCCAGGTCGACGAGACTCCTCGTTTCAACGGCTTCTCACATCTTCGGGTGCTAAGACCCGAGCTGCCGCCATCGCCGCCGTCCTCTTCTCTCGCTGCTAGAAAGACAGATCTGCATCACCCTGCTATCGCCATCAACAATCACAGGGCCCAGTCGATCTCACAGACTCATCTTCCTCCACCGCTTCGTCGTTGCCTCCACCCCCGCCATTGTGCCCTGCTCTGCCCTCTCACCTGTCACTCATCGCCGTCGACCATTGCTCTAGTCGCCGTGGGACGAGCAGTGACAAGGTAGAGAGAAGAAAAGAAAAAAAAAATAAGAGGCAAATAAAAGATATTAAAAGGGGGAAGGAGTGAGATCGGTCGGGAAACATACTCGGTCCTAGGGTAAATGAAAAGAAGAGAAGAGGAGGAAAATGAGTGAGAGCTTGGGGTAAATGGAAAATTTGTTGGGGAAGAGAGAATTTTAAGTTTTGGGATGGCTGGAATTGGGGTCTAAAAATTGGGAGAGATTGAAAAGTGGACATTTAAAAAATTGGGCGGGACTGAAATTTTGGTGGGGAAAAAATGTGTCGACGCTGATTGGTTCAATCTAACACGAGATTTCAGTTTAACACAAGCAAATTTGACGAAATTGTCTTTTGTAAAAAATGAAACCACTATATTATGACGAACATGCATTTTGTCAAAACCAAAACCATTATATTATGACGAACATGCTCTTTGTCAGCTCGTCGTGGGATTATTGTTATTTATTGTGCCAAAATACTTTGTCATTTAAACAATTTAGGAAGGCATAATATGACAAAAACTACTATGACAATATAATTTGTCACATTTGTGTCTCTTATATCCCGATATGGGATTCCTATTTTGACAAATTAATTGTGACACGAATTATTTGTCGCATTACTCACTTTTAATGACGACTTATTCTGACAACAATTTTTTGTCACATTAGCCATACCAAATAGGACATATATTATTTTTGTCATATCACCGTACCTATTGTGACAAACAGAAAATGACGAAATAAATTTTTTGTTCTAATAGGCCAATTTTGTTGTAGTGACTAACTCAATGCAACAATCCTTTATTGGTCAACTAAGAGAGTTAGGGTTTTCTCGGTTTGTTTGATTAAGAGAGCTAGGCCTCCTAGCTTATTGTTGCAATCCTTAGCCAAGCGGTTAAGAGAGCTAGTTTCGCTAGCTTATTGTAGCAATCCTTGATTGATCAACTAGGAGGGCTCGTTCCTAGCTTTTTGCACCCGCCTCACGGTATATAAACATACCCTTCACACTAGAGTTTCCTCCATTGCTTCTTAATATGAGGCTAGGAGGAGCAATACCTAGGTGAAGTTCTCTCAAGTAGAATTCTCCTCGATTTACTTTACTTGTTTGTTTATTTTGTAGTTTTCTTAGTTTTAAACCCAAAATCAATTTGCTAGATAACAATTTAAGCGACTGAAGTAGGGCTACATGGACCGGCTCGGGTTGACAATTTAAATACTTGCCCTATACTGCACCCGGCTAGAGTTTAAAAACTTGGGCTCTAGTCGGGATTAATTTGCGGTGTAGTTTCGAGAGAGTCACCCAGGCCCCAACTATAGGCGTATGACCAAGTTTTGAGGAAAAGTTCATTAGTAATCAATCACAATCAACAACAATGTAACTTTCCATATCTATATAAGTTCACAAAGAAATCCCTAAGGGTAAATTGCAAGTTTGGTCACTGAAATTACTACGCCTGCCACTAAAATTAGTTTATTCTATTCATGGTCACTGGAATTAGTTCAACAGTTCAAGTTTGGTCACTCTCCGTTATCTTTTGCTGACGTGGAAGTCAACCCTTACAGTTGACCGTTAAATGTATGATGTGGCCATTAAAAAATAATAAAATAAAAAATTTTAATCATTTAAATTTTCCACCTCATTTTACATTCATTAAAAATAAAAATAAAATAAATATTATTTTATTTTCTTCTATTCTCATAACTCAACCTTCAAAGAGCACGCCTTCATCGGACTTCTCAAGTCTCCACGCCGGCAGCCAAACATGGGTTTCCAGGGAGGACGGAAAAGAAGAAAAATCTATGGCGGCGGTGGCTCCTGCGGAGGCGATGCCTCTGTCAAAACTCAAAAGGTTGACCCACAAGACCTGCAAATTACCCCTGAACTGCCGCACCAGTTCAGAAATCTTTGTACATGCTACATTTGCTGCAAGAAAATATTGAAAGCAAGGGGCAAGCATATTCGGTGGAAACGGAATGATCTGATAGAGCTCGGAATTCGAATTCGAGCTGTAATTTGCTCCGACGAAGAGTGCAACAACAATTTGCTCCCAACGCCAACTGTGCATACTCCAGTGGCACCGAATTCAGGGGAACATTGAGCTGCCCGGAGATTGACTCCTCTGCAAACCACAAACCCAGTCAAATTCACTCCGCAAACGTGAGACTCGCCGACTTGAATATTCATCTCCCAAATCCTTATTCGATATGATCTAGGAAGGCGAGCGGCGTCAGCCGACGAATATGAATTTGTTGGTGTTGAATGAAGATGAACAATCGATTGGCGTGACTTCCACCAATCAATTGCAGAGGATGGATAGGCAAAGGAAACAGGGGAAGGTATTAGGTTTCAACCGAGGATTTTTCTGGCAGAATTGTCAGCGCTGGGGCACTGCATGCAATTGGCGACCAGTTCTTCTGGGAACACGAAAGCAATCCCAAGAGGGCAAAGGCTTCGTCGACATCAACGAGCAGAAGATCTTCTACAATGGTCAAGGTGAGATGAGAGACGGAGTTGATCTGGAGTGAAGGGCGACTCAATTAAGTAGGGGGTGAAGGCGCGTCGAGAGACAATCTGGGTTTGGGTTTTCCGAATATCTTAACTAAGAGAGAGGGTGAACGGGAACAGAGAGATGGAGCGACGCAGCGACCGGAGAATATTGGATTGGGTTTGAAGACGAATAGACGATGTTGGGTTTTAATTTTTGTTTTTATAATGAATTTATGTTTTATTTATGTTTTATTTATTGTTATAACGAGGTGGGAAACTATAAAAAAAATGAAATCTTATTATTTTATTATTTTTTATTTGCCAGGTCACTTATTTGACGGTCAACAGTAAAGATTGATTGCCACGTCAGCAAAGGATAACGGAGACTAACGGAAAGTGACTAATTTGAACTATTGAACTAATTCTAGTGACCATGAATAGAATAAACAAATTTTAGTGACAAACGTGAACTGTTTAAGTAATTCCAGTGACCAAACTTGCAATTTACCCAAATATCTAAGCAATCACCATAAATAGATTCATCAAAACTAGCCTCAAATTAAGTTCAAATGTTTAAGGAATTAAACATGGGTTAATAGCATTTTACACCCCTCTATTATTACAAATTAATAAACGTATCACTCTACTAAATTTGTGCACATACATACCGTTATAATATTACTACGTAACAAATATACTACTCCGTCAATATTTTTGTTAATCTAGTGGACTGGAAAATTACCCAAATACCCTCATTTAATCTTAATTACGTTTTTTTATCATTTTTATCACAGTTCACAAATCCAATTAAAAATTAAAACCGACCCTAAAAGATCATCATTCTCTTTGCAAGAGAACGTTTTGGTTTTCCTCAATCACCTGCCACCGTCGAAGACTACTCGCCGATAGACTTTGACACACCCTGCTTCATTGTCATCGCTAGCTAGGGGCTGCATCCTGCTGTTCCTCACTGGAGGCTGGAGCAGACAATAGCGGGCGAGACGGCGAACGACATGAGCAGATAGGAAGCTTTCTCCCGACAAACAGCGACCGACTTCCGCAACTTCTTCTCCCTCCGCCGAGAAAGCAAACAGCGCCAATCGATTTGTTCCAAATGTTCAGCTCTGTCAGTTGCTACTTTTTTCCATTGGATTCGTGCACCTCAGTTATAGCTTATGCTACTTGTATAAAGACACAGATATATAACGAGTGTCAACTGGTTCTTGACGATGAGAATCATCAGTGGGTTTTCCTTATTCATTTGACAAATTAAGATCACCCTTGCAAACAGGGATAGGCCTCCAAAATACTATTAACCCATCATATAAAATATGTTACTTCAAATAAATGAACTACTCCAACTAATGATAGTTCATCTACTTATCTTACGGGTAATTATAAAGATAAACTTTTATCATGTTGTTCCATTAATATACAGAGGAGCTCTACAAATTCAATGATTCTACTAAGCGATGAATTGATGTATTAGTCAAGTTTTACTGCTTTTCTTGCTTATGATACGATATCTTAGTTCAGAGTTCAAATGTTTTCATTTCATGATGGGAAGATATAAAGTAAAATGATACTTCAAATAAATTTACCACATATTATATTCGAACTTTATGGCCATCAATCATCTTAAATTAACAATTAAGAAGGTATAAATTATCTCTAAACAAAGTCGTCGTGGATAAGAGATGACATTGACATATGAAAAAAGTTGAAAACTATTATAATTTATAATGACCAAATTCTAAAATTCTTAGAATTTCTTTAAAATTTTAATTAAATAAAACACTTCGCGCCATAAACATACAGTCACTTCTCAATAAAATATAATATTCACAAAAAGATTCATCATGTCAGGGAAAAAATCTCATGAATATTTAAAAGCTAATATATGGGCATTTGAATAATAGATTTGGTGCCAAATGGATATATTACTTAATGTGGAGATAATATGTGAATATTTTAAAAGAAATGAAAATTTTGAAACCCATAGTTATACACATTTGCATGAATAAGTTTATACCAATTTATAACACCAAGATAAAAGACACTCAATAAATTCACTCAATGCTTTACTTTGACTACGTGATTAAATGCTACATTTCAACCAATTGTCACTAATGCCACAAATTAATATATTTCTAAACCATATATAAGATATTGTAAATAAACTAACTATTATGAATGATAAAGAAAAAATCATTCAACTAACCGTGTGACTGTAAAATTAGTTCAAGTTATAAACTATTTTAACTATCGAAAGAATAAAAATTCATAATCAGGTTCATCTTTACTCAGTTACTTGTCATGGCAACAAAGTTTTAACACATCCAAAGTTTTGAAACGAACCGGTACATCAAACACAATCTCATCTCATTATTGTTGATTACAACCATGCTAGATCAGCAAGATAATTTAGGTTTAGCCACTAACCGAATAAAAATTTACAGAGAACCGGTCACTAGTAAGTTGCACAAAATGTCTGCTTCATTTAGTTCTTAAAATTGATACTAAGTTAAAAATTCTACCTTGCTTTTGCATATCTAATACTGCAATTTGATATGTAACATTCAAATTAATGATATTTGAGTTGCGATTTTAACATTATCATTCATTTGCAGTATAAGAAAATATATTAGTTGTTAAAATATAATTAGAATAATCAAAAATAAAAATCAAATTATCAAACACCAAATATTTACTTAAGGGAGACTTAGTGAGCTAGCTAACCGTGCCAGAAAAGGCATCTTTTTTTCCAGATTGTTTCTTCTTATATGTTTTTAATTTAGAAAGATACAACAAATTTGTTTAGAGTATTTGTTTATGATTATTGTCTTTACTTGAAGAGGCGTTGGTTCAAATCTGAACACCGATTTTCTTTAATTGTAAATGAGAAATAGATAACTGATAATCCTCATCCAAGCTAGCCCCCAACTTGTGGGCTTTATCGGTGAATTAGCCTGCCCAAGTCCCTCTTCTATTCTTTCTCCATTTTTGGGCCCTATCTTGGGTTCATCTATTCTCTATCTTTGTAAATTTGATTCGGACACCTCATTTGAACCTCCCATTGTCCAAAAATTATTCTAGTTTTCCTACCATTGAAAAATACTACTTTTACTATGCTTGCTAGGGGTGGACATTCGGTTGGTTAAGTCAACCCGAACAAAACCGTCCCTAAATTTCTCTGCTTTTCCAAGCCAAGCTCTAATCGAACTTGATTTCGATTCGGTTTGTTCTTAACCAACATACAACCGGTTTGAAATGAGCTTGAGTAGATTGCTGAATCATTGCATATGATGAGGAGATAAACGACCGGAGTGAGATCTGAGTTGAGCAAGGCGGCTGGAAACTCTTCACTTTGTGTTTGTCATTTGGGGAAAGGAGGACGAAGCAACGAGACAAAGACAACGACTCTAGGCTAGAGGAGGGCGACAAAGCGATCAGGACATTATTGGTTGTCGACTGTCGGAGATGTTTTCCGTTGAGATTGGCCATGGTATGGACTACCATGGATTGGCTATTGACGATAGATGAAGGAAACGATCAGAGGTTTTTTGGTTCAAATTTCGGTTTGGTTCATTCCGAGTAGATGATCGCCAACATCAATTTTAGCATTCGGGTTCCGAGCCAAATATGAGACAATTCAATTTTGGTTTGATTTATGTTTGGTTTGGTTCGATTTATGGATAGTCAAGGGGTTGGGGCAAAAAATTTCTTTCGTCCCGCTATCACGAAGATTGAATGCAATATGGGCCTGACACGAAGAGATTTAAATCGCTGACATGAGTAACGGGTGTGTCCTTGTAAGATTTCTTAGTCAAAGTGATGATGAGCTGGTTACAATGGGAGGTCCATGGCTACCGGGGAATACATATTCACGGTCCATTGATGGTTTAAGGGGTTTAATTCGAAAAAAAACTAAGGTGGACTCCACGCTGATTTGGGTACATTTTCCTGAACTACCAATCACATTTATTAATAAGGAAGCAGTAATGAGGATAGAAGCGACAATTGGCAAACCGGTTCGTGTTGATAGAGAGACGAAACTAGGGGCACGGAGCAAGTTCGCGCGAGTATGTGTGGAAGTGGACTTAACCGAACCCCTACTATCGAAGTAAAAAATCGAACAATTACCTACTTGATACGATAAGAAGGTTTGGAAAATGTATGTACTCATTGTGGTACATATGGCAAGCCGACCTCGGACTTTCATTGCACCAGCTCCAACAAAATGGAAAAGGAATACAAGAAGGCAGGGAAGGAGGAATCTGTTGAGGACCCAACGAATGAGCAAATATATGTGGAATGGATGGTTGTCGATGAAAGAGATTAGCGTCCGAAAAAGTGAGAGGGGGGAGAACAAATATTGTCGAGAAAGGAGGAAATACATAATCGTTTTGAGGTTTTTGGCGTACGTGGATAAGGAGGTGGAGGGGATAGTGCGGGAAACTCCCACACAAGGGGTAAGTGAGAATGTGGTGAAGATGCCCTTGCATGGAGAGTACGTGGGAAGCACAAGGAGGGATACGTAGCTATGCATGGAAAGAAGCAAAGCCAAGATTTGGAAAAAGGCCATAATAGTAACCAAAGCAACAAGAAGGGACTATAAGAACAAAGACCGAGCACTACTTCTGGGAAGCTATGCGTAACTGTGAAGAACTCCAAAGCAACACAAAATCAAGGGAACTCGGTCTCCTTACAGGACAGTCCTCAGGAGAAAATTAGCTAGAGAGATACGACGTAACAAATAGGAGATAAAAAGAAGAGTCAACAAAAGAGTGACAATGGAGGTTTGAATAGCACATTGAATAAGGACATGTCGGGTCTATCAAGAAAGAAGCAAGCTAAGAGTGCGGGGAACCTAGTTATCTCCTTTTGTTAATAGATGATGCTTCTAGACTACAACTGTCGTGGACTTGGAAACACACGAACAGTCAAAGCTTTGAAGTAACTCCTATGACAGGTTTCCCCTTAGGTCGTATTTCTAATATTGGATGACAAGAATGCAAAGACTTAAGACTGTAATGGA